AAACACTAGTGTTGACACTGCAATTGCATCTTAGTCATTTGGTGAATCTTGTCTATTATATTTAAATTAAATCAGTCCAGATCTCACCAGTTATGAATTTGCAATTACATAAAATCAGAGAAGAGCAGTAAATTGAAAAATCTGAAGAAGAGGTGGAACCAGAGTATGTTTTGAATTTAAGCTTGAAAAATGATCAGTTGATTCATCAACAGCATATACAGTATTAGTATAAAAACAGTATTTTGGTGTTTGTGATATGGTTTCTGGGGAAAGAAATACAATATTTCTTTATATACCACCATCTTTATTTATATTCATTTTGCCTTTTGTGCAATGTGTGCAACTGTGACACAGAATTTCCCCTCAGGGATCAATAAAGTGTTTCTGATTCTGATTGACTGGCGATTCAGCTATATTGCATACTTTAATAGGGAACAGACAGCAAGCAATACAGTGGTACAACAGCCTAATCTAAGTAAATATTTACTCTACTATCACAATTGACATCAGCACACTGATATATCTCACATATCAGGGTCCTTATCTCTATTTGAGAGTTTGCTGTTTAACACTATCACATAATAAAACCTGCATATTAATCAGCCATTAAGTGTGTAATCTATAAGTACAATAAACTATAATATAAAAAAAACATATCTATCTACCTCATAATGTTACCGATATTGCCAAAATAGTAGTTCAATCTTTGCACATGCACCTGTACAGCAAAGTGTTTTCGCCTTAAAACCTATGAGGCGTTTAGGGACACAGCTGGATTGGTTGAATTTGACAAAACAGACTTATACGAGGATTTTATAAATAACCACGCGTCGTACAGTTACAGTAAGTATGATATACGCGCACACACACGCTTCAAAAGCGAAAATAAGTCTCAAAAAGACTCACGAGCAGCTGACTCCGCCAGAAGGTTTCAAGGACTCCGCTGCCGGTGTCTTTACAGCACAGAGCAGCGATATCAGCCAGCATTAAAACACATTCTGTCTCGTTAGATTTTTCTACAACTGTTCAGCGCTGATCAAGTCACCCTACCTGCTAGAGAAGAGGCTCACCCGCAGGCAGTCGCAGCTTCACTCAGCTCCTCCACCGGCTGTTTGCGGAGTCTCTCTGCTGCTGCTGCTGCTGTGGTGTGGTTGGAGCATAGACTGTATTGGAGCCGACCACACCACGTGACCCTGCAGCTCCGAGGCTGCACGTGATCACAACGCAGGAGGACGGAGGTTAAGTTAATTATTAGGGTTAATTGATAGATGTTTATGAGGAATGTAGAGAGTTTCCTGCACTATCAATCCCTAAAATATGGATGTCCATGCCACGAGGGGAGAAAATAAAAATTACTATTAATTAATTATTGCAAATTGGAGTTACAGTGGTGGAATATATCTATTTTTACTTGTATTGACTTGAGTGTTTAACATCTACAACTACTTTATACTTCTCCCTAAGGAACTATTGTACTTTTTACTACACTACATTTACTACACATTCATTTAATACCTTTAGTCACTAGCCTATTTACTTTGCAAATTCAGCAGTGGTAGAAGAAGTAGCCTACTAAGATATTCTTCTCAACTCAAATACTCATTCAAAACTTTACTCAAGTAAAAGCACAAAAGTACCAGCATTAAAATGTACTTAAGATACCAAAAGTAAAAGTTCTCATGCCGAATGGCCAGTTTCAGAATATATATTATCAAACTGGAATGTAATTATTGATGCATTAACTGCCGTCTTCAACATTTACTGGAAGTGTGTTTAGTTCTCTGCAGACACGTACTGTGAGCGTGATACTAAATAAACTAAAATCTAAGACTGACAAATGTACCACCATTAATTTGCTCATGTTTCTTTGTTGGCATACTTAATAACAGGGTCTTCGTTAAAGTACTTTTAAAAAAATAAGTACGTTTGTGGTTTAAGATGCTCTCATCTAGCCTTCAGGGTGATCATGTGGTTCATGACGTTTCATATATACAATCAGGCACTGCATTCACATGATGGATCAATGAAATGAGTTGGTCCATCCGAACAAAAACATAAAGATTCATTGGTGAAGGTAAAGTAGAATCTTAAAATTTAAAACATTTCGTATTGTTATACCATCATTTCACATATATTTAACCTGTTATCAAAAAGGTTATAACCCATTGCTTCAACACTGAAATGAAGTGCAGGAAATTAATTACATTTTATTAATCGCAGTGAGGGAAGTTTCCACTCTCCATGTGTGGAGGTCACACTGAGGTACAAAGCTGTAGCCCTGCAGGTGGTATGGGATTTTCAGGGATTTGCTCAACGACAGTTCAGCAGGGCAGAAATTTGGCAACACAGGTTGGGCTGAAGCTGAAGCCAATGAAAGGCCAGTGTGCCACCCAGTCGACTGTCTTATAAAAGAAAGTAGGGAGGAACAAATGATGCGTACCTTCCATCAGCTGTGAAGGGGATGTAGAAAGTTTCAGTTCCTCTTAAAACACCAGCTCAGTCAGACTATGACTGGCTGTTTTATGCATTTCCCAGATTGAGGACCTCATGTTTGGTCACAGTATATGGCATAAAAACATGTTTTGCATGTTAGGTGTTTTGAATCTATATGCTTTTGCTTGCTATGTAGGTTAGCAGTATGTTAGAAGTATTACTGTTATTTACTCTTTTCTAAGCTCAAAAATAACTAAAAGGCAGTAAGCAATACATTTCAAAAATAACCCAAATTTTGAATAATTATCAACATTGTGTGAGTAAGGAGCTGTAGCCAGTTCCACTACTGTCTTGACTTGACTCTGCAACTTTAACACTTGTGGATTTGAATTAATTCTTCCCTGTTTCACCCCAAGAATTTCTCATGTTGGCTTTGTTCTTCCCTCCAATTAGTGAGTGCATCGCCCCTGTAAGCCTCTATGTCACTCTGTATATCCTCAAACCTTCTGTCACTATATGCTAACAAGTGTGAACATTTAAACCAATAAATATGCCAACAGATACTTTATTAAAGTAAATATGAAAATTATACACACGATGCAGGCAATCTGTAAAAGCAGTGGTCTCTGAAATGAGTATGTGATATAAAACAAAAGGTGCATTAAGAGACTTATTCTATTACACAAATGGGGAGTATTGTTATCATTAATATTTTAAAAGAGCAAGTTACTATAACTGGAAACACATCAATCATATTCAGCACAAAAAGCCCAAATCAAACTTGTAGCATATATGCGTATATGAGAGTAAACTCAATCCTTTTCTCCACTAGATTTACTCAGTGGTTCTGGATGTGCTTCAGCTGGTGGTTCAGGCTCCTCTGCTGTGTCTACAGGCTGCTCGGGGACTTCTGATTGGCCAGAACTCAAAGACTGTTCAGCAACCTCTTCTTTTGCATCTACTGTTTGTTCTGAATCTGAAGCTTTGGGTTCTGCTGCAGCATCAACTTTCTGCACTTCAAACTCCTTACTTTTGCTCGCCTTGTTGTCTTCAACCTTTTCCAGGGGAAGAGTCTTAGTTACAGATTCTGCAAGAGAACAGTCTTTAGTAACCATTTCTTCTAAATTATGACAGGATTACACCATGCTGTAATGTTTCAGACGCAAACGTGCATTTCATTTCAGCTTCCTCACCCTTTTGCTTCTGCATTTTGGTTCCAGTGACTGTGGTTTTCATCTTTTCCTTCGGGGTGTTTGGGCCAAACACCACATTTCCTTCTGCATCAGTCGAATATGAAGTCACCCCCAAGTCAGGCGTTCCTTCTGTGACCTCCAGCTGAGAGGATACAAACTGGTGTTAGACATCACCATGTAAAGAAAGCTGTGCTCTAATCAGAATGAACCACTACACCATTTAAAGAATGATGTCCACTACTTACCCGAGAAGTTCACTCAGGTCACAAATATCACTGACTAATCCAGATACACTTCAAGATGAAAACTTTTATAATTTAATTAATCTATCCAAATCTGTATTCCCCTGATATTTTACATTTTATGACCTTTGTTTAACCAAAATTTTCAATGATTTATTTCTGAAAAAAAAGGAAGGATATTCCATCATTGTTTCGTTGAATTATTGTCTTATTAAAATCAAGGACACCCTATGAAATGTATGCTGTTCACACACACACACACACACACACACACATATATATATATATCTTTATAAAATTAAGTGGCTGACTTTGCAATGACGGCCTTTGTCAATCTATTCTGCTTAAAATGATATCTAGCCACGCAATTGACATAGCAAAACTTCAGACACATAGTCCTCGTCTGTTCAAGGAATAGTTTGACATTTTAAGATATAAGCTTTTTTTGCTTTTTTGCTGTAAGTTAGCTGAGAAGATCGATACCGCTCTTATGTTTGTTCAGTATGAATCTACAGCCAGTAGACGGCAGGAGAAGCTTAGCATAAAGACAAGAAACAGGGAAACTAGCTAAAGAAATCTACCAGGCTGAAGGTCACTAATTACAAGTTATATTTTCTTTGTTTAATCTGTACAAAAACTTGGTTTTACAGGGGGTTATGTGTTGGACTATTTCTTGGCTGTGCGCAGTGACTTCCGGTCCATTAAAGCAGCATTAGTAATACTCATGTGGTAAAACTGAAGAGGAAAATTTATATAATCTTTATCATACTGAAAAACCTTTTAGAAAATGTATGTAGCACCGTTGAATGCTTGTGACCAGACAACATGGGGAAAAAGCATTAGTTTTCTCTCAGTTACATTCAGGGGAGCTTGATTTTGTTTGCTCTATTTGGGCTCATCTAAAGGTGAGTTTTTTTAGTTTATATATCCAGAGCATCATCAATCAAGCACACTATGGTTACAGTAGAGAGAGGGGGGGTTGTCTCCATGCTGGTGCTTGATCTTCGGGCAGTCCGAGTCTACAGAAATCGTGACTGGGAGTGAAAACATGGAAGAGTCAACTGAAAAGAGAGAGTGAACAGTGAAGGGTGGAAGGCTCAAACCAAAAGTGAGACAACTCAAAGAGGAGGAAGTGGGGAAGTACATGCTCGTTTTTATTAGTCTCATCAAAAAACAGGGGAATAGGAAGTGATGCAATAATCACTATTAATGGACAGTGATCTAACAGTCTCCATTACAGTGGCATTGTTATTATCATAATCATGAATAAAGGAAGTATCATAATCATTAATGATGGACTGTGAAGGGTATGTCGTAACAATAGTGACAGTGGGCAAACATACAGTATTCACTACAGACAGGAAGACAATGGAGGTGATGTCATGATCACAACATTGAAATGACTGAATAATAATAAAGCATGACTAAATGCAACATCTGATGCACATAAAGGATCATGTTTTAGCCCATTTGCAATACATTTTACATTACTTCCTGGTTTATTTTCTGATGCATAACATGAGTTTTTAGATCAAATTTTTCTATTATTTTTTTTAATTCAGTCTTTCCAAAATCAAAAACACAAAAACAAAAGTGTGAGGAATGGAATAAACAGTGTGTTTTCTGCTCTTATGAAAGCCACAATCGTTAGCAGCTAACTAGCATACCTACAGTTGTTAGGTACTCCACATTACTTCTAAGGCTAAAGAGCATAGGTCATAACTAGTTTGGGGGATTCAGGTTAAATTTTAAAAAAACCCGTTCACGACTAGCCTATCCATATGCAATGTTTTTATCCACTGAGGTCCTAGATGCTATCAAAGCTTTGGTTAACGTCAGCGGCTTTGTCCTGCTCTTTGTTGGGTTTTTGGGGAAGAGACAGCATTACGTTTGCCAAATACGTTGGCTACTCCTCATCCTAAAAGCCTTTTCTCTTGTAACTTTATAAGTGACAACATACAGTTTGTGAATACAAACAGAATGCAAAATTTTTCATAAAAAGTCAAACAGAAACAGATATTTTTAACCAACTTGTTGGGCTAATGTTAGCTTAACTAGCTAACTAGCCTCAGCTGATAACATCTAGACGTTTTTATCTACCTCTGTCTGAAATGTGGGACCTGCTGTTTCAAAAAACACACAGAGGAGTTGAATCATGTGTAGCAAATGGGATAAAACATGTAAGTTTACACATTTCACACTAACTTCATGGTTGCTTTTCTATGACTTAGCACTGCATCCTATTAACACATGCCTTAAACTATATCTTTGGCTTCTCTCATCAAGTTTCAATTTTTCTTCCAAAGCAAACAGAAATCTTAATGCCAACATGAGCCTCTCTGCATGCCACAGCTTTACACAAACAAAAACTAAAATTGCACCAGTTTCGCAACATTTTTAAGTGGACACTATATGTTCAGTTAGATTTGTTATTATTGGACCAGATGAGTATATTTATTATAATTTTAAGTTACAACTCTTCACCACACTCGGGATTTCTTTCTGAACTGTTGGACAGTTCAGATTTAGCACCTCTATTGTTAATTTTATATTCTACACAAAACATCTAACACACCCTCAAGCATTTTTTCCCTTTAACTGTTTCCAGTGTTTTTCATTTATACATATTTACGACAAGACTTGGACCGCTCTTATTTTTTCTTGCCGCCAGCCTCTTCAGGGATGAAGACACTTACGGTGAAGTCCCCGCTCTCCGTGCCGTACTTGTTCTTCACCAGGATGCTGTACTTGCCAGAGTCTGACGTGTTCACGGCGGTGATGGTGAAGCTGGCAAACTTGCCCGATGCAAACTTCAGGATGCAGTGGTCGTCAGATGTGATCTCCCTGTCATTCTTCAGCCAGGTGACCTCTGGCACGGGGTCACCCGAAATGTTGCAGGTAAGATTGAGGGCCTGGTAGGAGGACAAACATGCAACACACACCCATATTATTATACAGCAATGACAATTACATCGAGGCATAAAGTGTCACTGCGACAGCAGATAGAGGTTCAGTGTCTTTCTTGAGGACAATATCACAAGACACATGACATTCAGTTTCCCGCATAAATCAGAATCAGCTGAAACAGTTTACCTTGCCCTCCTGTATAGTGACCACATCAGGCAAGCCTCCTGCTACCCGAGCACGGTCTGAGAGAAACAATGTTAACTTCAGTGATTACAATAAATAAATGCTTTCCATAAAATAAAAATCCAATAAGAAATAATTAAACACGTTAAAAAGGGAAAAAGTAACAACACGCAGTAAAGCTACCACAAAATGGCAATTATGATGGATAAATGTCTTTTGATCCAGACCTGAGACGAGAAAGTCTAGTGTCTTTAAATAGAAGACCACATGTTTATACATAAGGATATTAAATATAATAATTAATTATAAGGGTTATATCATGCCCTGTCTTTGTTTTAGCTATAACATCCAAGTCGCAGCATTTAAAACTCCATTATAAGGTATTCTAAACAATAAATGAAGAACAGGTTTTCTTAATGATTCAACAGCTGCTTCATCCAGGGCTGAAAACTGCCAAACACAAAGCCGCTTTAAAAGTAATTTCACTTACTTCTCTCTGCAATAGCAGCAGCTCTGAGGAGATAAATAAAAGAAAGAGGGAACAATAAAGTTAAGGCTTACAGCAAAATGTATGCAAATGAAATTGGATTACTCCTGTACGTTCACTTCAGCATGTGTTTTGGCTACAAAAACCTAATAATATTATCAAGAAGTTACTTACTTGAGTCTGTTGAATTCTGCAAAGGCGTCATCAAAAGCTGCAAAACAAAAAAAGGATGGAAGAATCTGAATCTGATTTATTGCCCAAGTAAGTTATACAAGGAACTCGGAAGTCTGTTAGAGTTCATCAAATGTCTAAAGAAAACATGTTTCAATGATTTTAATTAATCTACGAAAACTCAATGATAGATAAGAAATAAAGACGAAACAGTAAAACAAGCAGCGTTAAACTATAGGCTCAGATTAGGGGATATAAAGAGATACGTAGCTCGCGAGACATCACAATATGCGATATTAGGTTCACGAAAACGAGACAAAAAGATCCTTAAACAGTGTTTTAAAGATATCCTCAATGCTGTGGGGGGTCTGGGGGAACCTCTCCCAGGAAATTTTGATCTTTAAACACTTAATTTCCTGTATTCTGGTTAATGTTTCTGCACAAATTTATGGTGGAAATGTTTTTTTATGATAAAGGAGACATAAAAATTCAGGTTGCACGTGACATTTCAAAATATCTAAATATAATAGAATATAATGCCGTGACGCTCTCAGGTATTCTGTGTTGCTTTCAGATCTGTGTCTCCTGTAGATCAACTTTTCTCATGTAATATCATCCCTGCTGAGGCAACACATGTAGGCATGATTTAGTCTTCCCTCCTCTTTTGTCCTGTTTAAAGAGAGAGGACGGAAAACTTTGCCAAGAAGAAACAAGAAGATGTTAAAGTTACTGATTTGTTTTTGGGTTATTTTATAATCACTAGCTTGTTTGTATTATTATTATATGGTTTGTTATTTAACTGCAAACCATATTTCAAAACGTTTTTTAACAAATTATGCTTTTAAAAAGTGGTGGGGACAAAATCAGCCATTTCAAACAGTGGTGGGGACATGTCCCCAGCATCCCCAGTGTAAATGACACCTGGTACAAGTGAAGTATACAATCAGTGTGGCTAAAAGAGAAGTTTTAAATATGCTGATGGTCTCACCTTGACCGGACAGCTCCACAGTCCTCCTCAGGCCACCTTTTCCATCGTTGAACTCAATGGCATATTTGCCCATGTCTTTCTCTGTGGGCTCTGTGATCTGCAGCCACAGCTGTTCTCCAACTACACCACTCTTTATACGGTCAGAGAAGGCAATGGCCGAATCCCTGTCAGAGCAACAATATAAACATGGAAACACAGAAACATAAGGAACACTACAGGTGGACAATCCACTGACATATTTTATTATTGTTTTGTTTCATATTTTAAATTTTTTTACTGTCAAAAAATCTCAAAAGGCACAAAATTACTGAATACTAGAACTCACCAATTTACTCCCACATTAGTGTAATAAAATGTAGTCAAATAACAAATGTAATTAAAAATGGACAGTTTTTAAAAGATATCAGCTTAAATGCTTAAGTTAGAGTGGCTTCATTTTAATAACAAATAGCAACACAGAACGTACTTGTAGTGCCATGTCACTTGGAGTAAATCGTTATAGTAGCTGACGAAGGTGTAGAGTCGGATGCCCTCATCTGTGCTTGTGATCTTCAACGGAGTAGAGGAATTGGCTGCAATTACAAATAAAAACCACAAAGAGGTGATTCAAATATTTATTTTGGGTAAAATGCTCATTTAAAATGAGTCAGGTACCACATTGTTTGGGGACTAAATGTTTATCTTCTTACCGATAAAACTGAAAACTTCATTCATCAAGTCTTTGAAACCTTGAAGAGAAGAAGATTTGATCATCCAAGTGCACACATGGTATATTTGCTGCAATCATGGGGTAGATGGTTATCTTAGCGTGTGACTCTGCAAAGTTACCTTGATCTGTCAAATTCAACGTGGAAGTGTCCTTTCCTCTGTCATCCTTCAGAACAACCTCATACACACCAGAATCCTTCTTGGAAATCTGACAAGAGAGAGCAGGAATGTGAGGTTCAGTCGTGAAACAACACCGAACAAGGAATATGATTTGTATTCATCTGAAAAGGCAAGCTTTTATCTTCTGCTATGGGTGCTGCAGAAAACACATATATGACACAAAAGCAAAAAAGCCAACAAACAAATGAACAAACACCAATTGAAAAAAAAAAAAAAGCATTCTCAGGCAGAACGGTAAAACCAGAAATGGCCGTTGGCCCACGATGACAATAGATAACTGATCCCAACTTTTAGTCTTCTCCAGATTAGGCTGCTGGCATAGTCTGCTGTGTCTGGAGGGGAGTCGCGCTGAAATGGGACACACGTGACATCATGTTTATATATATGTTAGACTAACCAGAAGGATGTCATGTTACTGAATGCCACTCAGACAGATGTTTAGAGACGATACAGTGGGATGGGGATGAGTTATGAGATGCAGAATGGAAAAGAGGGTTAGATGAAATTTGAGAGAAAATCACAAGAAGACAGAACAGTTACAGAAAGACAGTGATAACGGCGTCCAGAAATTTAGTGTGAATGAATTTAATGGCTTTGTTAGGTCCTAAAATATGATATGTTACATTTATTTTAAAGGCAGGTAATGTTGGTTATTTATTGCTTTATAGAGTTTCCTAGTGTAATTAGTAAGTTTAACAACTCCCTTTTGATCATTTCTTTACTCCAACTTACTTAAATCTTGTGGACCAACACTGAAGTGACAGATGCCCATATCATGTGAAAGATCCATATATTTTTGTGCAAGGATTCCACCGTTTACATTCATATATGCAAATGAATTCAGAGACAATTATACAGTACAGAAATATACATAGATATACATAAATCAACACATCATTCTTTCTTTTCTCATATTTTTACCTGAGCAATTTCCAGTTTCAGCACTCCCTCGGTGAAGCCCAGATGCTCGTCTGCTTTGATCTCGCGTCCGTCTTTGTACCACAGCGCAGAGGTCTCCTTCTTCATGTTGCCGACCTGAAACGCAACACAACAGAAGGATGTAAAAAGTGAAGACACTCTTCTTTTTAATTTAAGAGAGTGCAACATGGAAATTGTCTTTTAAGTTCTGTCTCACCTTGCATTTCAGTACAACGCAGCACTCTGGTGTCACCTCGTAACCCAAATACTCAATAAAGTGAGGACCTGGAACAAACATGAGTTATAGAAATGGGAAATACAACATGTAATGCAAACATAGATAAACAGTGATTCCAGTAGAGCTGATCAAAAAGTAATATGCAACTATATTTTGTTATTATAATATTTTGTTATTATATAATTTGTTATTAGTTTCAGCCATGTTTCAAGTTAAAATGCCAAACATTTGCTGGTTCCAGCTTCTCTACTGTTAGTAATTTTCTGCTTTTCTCTTTATATTTTTGTAAATTGAATATTTTATAGTTTTGGACTGTTAGTCGTACAAAACAAGACATCTGAAGGTGTCACTTTGGGCTCCGTGATACTGTGAAGGGCATTTTTTGTTGTTGTCGTTTAATCATTTAATCAAGACAATAATTAATCAACACACATGAGTATTTGGGGCTGCGATGCTCATGTCCCCATACCTTGCTTTCTGAACCATTCTTTCCTCTGGAACTCCGATTCCTTCTGCAGCTCCTTGAACACTGCAAATGTAAATAGTTCACAATGTTAAACCCTTAATCTGAGCCACAAATCTAACCATGTGACACTTGTTCGGTTGCTTTATATAATATGTGATAACATGAATGTAGTTTGGGATCAGTGTTGCCTGACAAAAAGTAGCCCAATCAGCACCTGGAACACGCCCAATTGTCGATTTGTTTGAAGAAAGCTGTGTTAGTATTACAAGGAAGCCAGGGGTGTTTAGCTCCCCCAAAGAGGCCCAAGCTCTCTCTAAAGCAAAACAATTTTGAGTTGGGGGGGATCTCAAAAAACTTATAACTAACATTTATAATGCTGCAATGAATTGTATAAGCTCAAATTTGTATGTGGCTCTGCCCTCGTTTTACTTTATCTTCTGTACTGTGCAAGGTGCTTTTATGTATCACAGCTCTATTATGCATACATCTGGCATACAATTACAACAGCATATTATATTATTATTAATTTGCATGGATTTGGTGACAGATTGCCAACAACCACAAAAATTCAGTCTCTCATCTTTTCTGCACCGCACAACACTGACGTGTGCTTTCTTAAATGTTTTTACTGCCCTCCAGTGTCCAGTTGCTGTGCTCTGCATTACGTCTGTACATGCTAACCACAGCAGGCTGATATAAAACCAAAATGTTTGTACTGAAGCTGCCAACAGCTGATTTATTGCACTATTGCAATATTTTATATATGTCTATGCCAAAAAGTAAGTATCCACAAAACTCTCACTGAAGTCCAGCTTGCTAGAATTTTTGATCAGGAGCATCTTTAGTATTTTTTTCTATTTGATTGAACATACCGTCTCCTATCAGTACCAAGCTGGACTGGTTGGTAGCTTTCCCATCATGCAACTGAAAGGTGAAGGTGCCCTCATCCGCCGGGGTCAGAGACTCCATGACCATCTCAATCACACCAGTGTTCTTGTCAAAGTTCATCTTGTATTTCTGCAAAACAAAGCAAACAAAAAAACACCTTTTAAATGATAATAGATAATAGTAAATTATTTAAAAATAGCTCATGCAATGTAAATTACTGAAGGTTCCTTTCCTTTTGTGTTTACTGACCTCCCCCTGAGAGAGAAGATTATCATTGAAGACGTAATCAACTTTGCTGTTAGCAGACATCTGCGCCGCCTGCAGCCAAAAGCGAACTTTTCCCTTTTCCAGCAGCTCCACAGCCAACTCTGACTTCAGGGGAATAACTAGTTGAAGAGAGAGTGAGAGCCAGCTCAAAGAAACAGTCCAGTCCATGACAAACTTAAAAACAGCAGTGATGATGTGCGATGCTGATACACTCACTGGGGAATTTGTGGTCATGACTGATCTCCAGCAGCCTCTTCAACTCTGACAAAGATAGTGGAAAGAGATTCAAAAATAAAGATGATAAAGTGAAGTCACTCTTATATTAAATCTTGAACAAATCCTGTTGTTTTCTTTGCTCTCTGTAACCTACCTTCCTCAGAGAGAGTGTAGCTGGATGAAGCACCATCAGTGTGGGTGACAAGACATGAGTAAACGCCAATGTCCTCCTCCCCAATTCTGTTGAAAACAGCTTTGGACCTGCAGGGTAAAACACAGTATAGATGTAATAAATAAGAGTGATCATCAAAGACTCTCAACTTAAAAAAGTACTCTCATCTCACTTGTTTCCCTTGGTCTCCATCGTCAGGCGGGATGAGTCTGTTATTTCCTCGTAATTCTTGGACCACACAAATTTGGAGTCGGGGGTCATGTCACAGCATTCAAAGTTCAGGGAGATGATACCGTCATCGTCAACGTCCACAACTATCTCCTTGGTGCCTAAAAGCCAGAGAAGGTAGTTTTACAGCTTGAAATAATTACCTCGTCAACAGCATTCATCAAACTTCTTTGTACCTACCTGGTTTGGTCACAGCTGGGACCGGCTCTGACACGTCTGAGGCTTTTCCAACGCCGGCTTTATTCTGAGCACGCACACGGAACAAAAACGTCTCTCCTTCCTTCAGATTCTTAATCTGCGAAATGAAAGAATATAGCATGGTTACACACCAGCTGCTGCCACACGTGTAAATAAAATCTCTCAGAGGAAAAAGTACTCAGCCGGATGATGGTGACCTTGAGGAACATCTTCTCAGTAGCCTTATTGTTGACTCCTCTCCACGCTTCCTCTGGTGCGTCCGCTTCCTTGATGTCGACATAGAACCCGTTGACCGGATCACGGCCTTGGTACACGGGTGGTTTCCACAGCAAGACCAGAGAGTCGCTTCGCACCTCTCTTATCTGCAGGTCATAAGGAGGTCCTGTGGTCCAAAACAGAAACACATTTGAAATACACAAGCAGGAAAAAAAACTGTTTGTGTAACTAACACAATAAGGTCCATAAACACCTCACATGTGTTTATGTACATAGAGGAAGGAAAAGTGGCTGCATGCTGCTTTCTTGTTCCCTGTTCTTCCTTGAGTGACATTTTAACAAGCTGTCTTCCTCAGGTAAAGGTGAGGACATTAGCATGTATAATAGACAGTTAGCAATGAACCATCATGATATCATTGTCAAATTAGACAATTAAAAAAAAAAAACAACAGGATAATGCAAAAAGTCTTCATTTCATAAGGGTGATTACACCATGTAATTTTAACCAGAGGTTTGGACTCAAATCGGACTTAAGTCCAGAATCTGCTGACTTTAAACTCGACATGAGTCAAAAAAAGACTTGCAACTGGACTTTAACCCAAATGACTCGTGACTTCACCACCTTTTTACTTAGAATGAATAGATCTCCTCCTCTGGCCCAAAGACTAGAAATTTGAAAATTGTAAAGTGGTCTGCAAATCAACTTTTCATTTTACTGAAGCCAATCCCAGCTGACATTGGGCGAGAGCCGCGGTACACCCTGGACAAGTCGCCAGTTCAACACGGTGCTAGCACATAGACAAACAACCATTCACATACACATTCCCCCTTGAGAGCAATTTAGAGTCGGCAGTTAACCTATGCATTTCTTTGGACTGTGGAGGAAGCCGGCGCACCGGAGAGAACCCACGCAGACACGGGAAGAACATGCAAACTTCACACAGAAAGGCCAAGGACGACCAAGGTTCGAACCCAAGACCTTCATACATGGTGCTTCTATGTTAGTTTTTTGGTTTTTCATTTGTTAATTTATTTTAGACTAATTTCCCCATGGGGACAAATAAAGTATTACTTTGGATAACAATGACTTTGTCACACATCTGATTGTAACCATGAATTTAACATTAAAGCACTTCTGCATGCTGTGTGTAGTACACAGGTATAATATTTATATAATCAATTTTGAGGAGGTGAGGACATGAAGATATCTCTGTATGAAATAAAAAATCAATCTGTTCATTAAAGTGTGTGCAGTTCATGAATTCTCTCAGTATGTAAAATAGGTGGTCTGATGAACCAACCTGGCACGGCGATGGTCCACTCCTCACACAGGAAGGTGTCACTGGGCAGTGACGGGATGCCGACACCTGCTATGTTGGCTGCCCGCACCTGGAACTGATACTTCCTGTTCTCCTTCAGGTCAGACACCTGGATACGAAGGGACATGGTCTTTAAAATCTATCTATCAACTGAACCCTGTATTAAGGTTGATGAATTTAATATCAGCTCACCCGGTAGGCCCTCTCACTGACAGGCTTGATATTGGCCTCGTGCCACTTCCCCGGCACGCCATCGATGACCTCACGGTAATCCACAAAGTAGCCTGTGATGTCAGCACCGCCGATGAAGGTTGGCTGCTTCCAGGCCAGCACCATCGCGTCACGCACACACTCCAACACAGTGATGCCATAGGGTGGAGTAGGGGAAGCTGAGATGACAGAAAACTCAAATTAACACCATAATGCCTGAGTAGGGGAACAGTGTGAAGTCATGGGAAACTGAAGCTCTACAGTGAGGTGATACTTTTAATTCCCATATTTATTTTTACACCTCCAGGCAGCTGCTCAAATTTATTATTTATTTATTTATTATTTAATAATGCTTCTCATGAGTTTATTGTAGGTTTGTAGATGCTGTTGAACCTCAGCGTCCCATCATAGAAAACTTAGCATAGCAGGTAGTGGCTGTCTTACAACTCACTTTCTTCCATGGCCAAATCATGACACACATAGTATTGTCAAACCCACAACACAATTGCACTTTAACCTTTTATACCAGGCTTTCGAATTGTGATTTGCTTAAAGGAGCATTATGAGATTTTGGGAAATATATTTAATCGCTTTTTTTGCTGAGAGTTGAATGGCAAGATTAAGATCACTCTCATATGTTACGTTGGTTGTGATCCTCTGCTTCTAATGGTAGCAAGCTAACGTGTAATGTTAGAAGCCAGCTGGCTGAAGTTTAAGATGGTGTCTTTGATAAGTTAACGTTTACTCAAAGTAATGTTAAACTTAATGCTAATGACTGGAGTAAAGTGAGTTTTCAACAGTATTTTCATGTTTTTTTGTTTTTTCAGTTTGTAGTCTGGGTGGTGTATTGCAACGTCTGTGTCTTTGTGAGTCTTTTGTGGCTGTTGGACGGATGGTCGCTGGTAACATTAGCTGTGATAACTATAGAGAGCTTTAAAGGCGCTGGTAGGTGACTGACTTATTTTAACCTTTGGACGGAGCAAGGCTAGCTGTGTCCCCCTGTTTGCAGGCCTTATGCTAAGCTAAGCTAACCAGCTGCTGGCTGTAGCTTCATATTTAACTGACAAACACGAGAGTGGCATCAATCTTCTTATCTAACTCACAGCCAGAAAGCAGACAAGTGTCAAACTATTCTTTTATACTATTAATTAGAATGGGTAATTGTTCTATATTACAATTTGCAGTAAGTAAAATGCCAACAAAGAATACTTAAATTCATAAATTCTGGGACTTGGATGAAGGAGTGACTGTAAGCAAGTCTCTCCAAAAGCAGGATCAGGTAACATGGTGATAATAAATTGGCCTGTCGTGCACAAATAGTCACGTGAACTTGATACATTCCCCTATTTAGGCGTGAGAAGTTGGTCAAAGTGTCTGAGAGGTGACGTACACAGTGTCCTACTAAAAAGGTCTCAGGTCGCAAGTGTCCTGCTCTTGTGTTGGTTGGATGACCCACTTTTCAAGTCCATGGCTTCCTGCCATGACATAATTATACATCGCATTTGTGTGTTAAAGTGCCTCTCAGTGTGATGGCGGGTCCTGAGGTGCCAGGCGCCGAGCCACCAAGTGAGGAGGTTGCGGGAAAGTGGCGGCCAGCAAAACTATTGACAAGCGTGACTGTTTGGAGTTAAAAGTCTGGTGGTGTTTTACAGTGACTTACCTTGAAGAGAAGAATACCAGTAGAGCACCTCCACAACTGTTTATTATTATTATGTCAAAAGCCTGTGGATGCAAAAGTAGAACCTTTGCCAAACTAATCTGAAGAAGTGAAATCCTTGTTGTAACGTCAGGGTAGAATATTTTCATGGATGCTAGTGTGTGTGTGTGTGTGTGTGTGTGTGGGGGGGGGGGGGTTGTTGATAAAAAAGATTTCCATCTCTGACCAGTGCTCACCTGCTGACTCTCTCCTGGGCCTCGCTTTCTTCCAATTAGCAGAAGCACCTACAGAGAACTTACGTGCCTGTTGGGCCGCAGGCTCATTGACTGTCTCTACAGCCTGATCCTGAACCTCAGCAGTGACTGGGTCTAAGTGTGCAGCTGTGGCTATGTCAGTAAGCGAGTCAGAAACTGAGACTGACACAGGCTCTGAGACCAGGTATTTTGCCAGATCAGGGGCCCAGGAAAAGCTGCCTCTTTTGCCCCCCTTGATTTTACTCTCCATGGGGTCGGGCTCTGTGAGGCCTGAGCTAGCAGCCCCGGCCCTCTCTCTGGCTTCAGTGTCAGCCTGAGCTTTATTGCACTTTTGCATAGTGTCAAAGGGGGACTGGACAGTTTCATGCGTGCTTGTCCAGCGTGGCCTGTGCTTGGTTAGTTGGCCCACGTTACCCCCCGGCCCCATCTCCAGCAACACACCATGAGGGATGCCGCCCCCTACAGGAGTTAGCAGAGAAAAGCAAAAGAGGCTTTAAAAACAGGCAAAAGATTTGTTCACAAGTTTAAAGCTCCTCTAAATCACACATCATTCATGTAAGAGCAAAAGAAGATGAGTCGAAACAAAAACACAGAGAGAAATATTCAGAACATTTTCCTAAATACCGTAAAATGTCTTCATCTGACTGGGAGTGAAAAATGAAGACAAGATGACCCAACAAGTGACATCCGTGTGAGGAGGATTCATTTGGGATTATGAGAGCATGCAGGCGAGCCAATGAGTGTGGATGTGCAGGCTTTGCACCAACCCTTTATGAAAAAATGCGGTACTTTAATAACAATGCCAATGATGATGAAGTCATAGGTGTGTCAAGATTGAAAGCTACAGCACACCATGATCTAATTCATACAAAGTAGTATAATTGTCTTTAGTTGTGGACTCTGGGCTGTAACGTTTCTTGCATGAAATATACTGTAAATTAAGTGTATTAGTGTATAGAACAGTATAGTATAGAACAGTATAGTAGAAATGATTGTGTTTCCTGCCAGCATTACCAATATGTATGTCTGCGTGACTGTGCTTGACATTGGCATTTTTACAAAGTTGATAAGGGAAAACAGAGCATGCCGCTCAGCACAAAGCTGACCAGTGAATGAGTGACATCCACATGCTGAAAGTTTTGTTAGTTATAATGCAGAGAGACCTCAAGGAACACATGCAGGAGAGCAGAATGAGCATTGCTGACAATTATCACAGCAGCAGGATTGGTCTGTTTTGAACAGTGTGTGTTAGGGCTCCAGTTCAGTGTTATCATCTATTGACTTTTAGGTAAATCATCTCTTGATAATGTGAAGACGTTGAGTTACTGCTTCACAGAATTCTGTTGCCCAAATTAATGATCCTCAGCCATTGGAGACGTTTTATGTTTTAGAGCTTTTAATGTAAAAGATAACAGTTTGATTACATGACTTTTGCATGATTTGCCATATCGTGATATTAATCATTGTTGGAAAAACATCATGATTTCAGCCATATTGTCCTGCCCTAGTATGATACAGTGTTGCCAGATCTGACTGACACCAAATATCACAGTCAGGTCTAGGAATGTGTTTTTTTGTCCATGCTACACATGCATAGGGAGCCTCGAGCCTCAAACAGTTAAGTGTCATGGGACTATGTGTGCATTTTTAACTATGCTCAGATCTAGTCATTAAAAATTAACTTAAAACTATTAAACAGATCAATTCCACTACCAGGTTAGCTGCTAAGAGAGAGGTTAAGACAGAGAAACTCTGCCTTTTAAGGATACCGGTGGGGAGGGAGAGGTGTGTGTTGGTACCTTTAGCACCATGTGGGGTTGCCGACATGTCTTGTGCCCAGGATAGGTGAGGGAAATGGGGGGCGGTGGTGTGTGACATTGCACTGGTTTGTAACGACCACTGAATTGGATCACACTGACCCAAAAAAGAGGAAGTCTACAAGTCCTGACCCTGCTTCAGGCTGTGCAGGGAGGTGGAAGGGGTGTAGATGTGGCTGGACAGGGTGGTGGGTAGGTGGGGCACACAACAGTGCAAAATAATGTGACAGGGTGACAGAGTGGGAGTATAGATGCTGATGATATAAAGAAGTGAAGAGATGTCTCAAAAGCACACCTGCAACATCTTTGTAAGATATCAGGAAAACGGAGATTCTTGAAGTGTTTTTCCAAAATATTTGCCATACTAACATACTACAGTATTTAAACAAATCATCAGTCTGTGGTGTTTATCACTGCATTTCAGGAGTCATTTTCTGGAGAAATGTCATTTTTTTAAAAGTTTTTGAGCTCAAACCTACCTCTACTTCAGGATTCAGTCTCTAGTTTCCTACATTCCAAAATACCTTTTTGAACATGGGTGTCTTTTATATATACGCTAAAAGACATAATATTTTTCTAATTATGATTTACCTAATCCTAAATGTTTGGCTGTATTGCATTCGGTACAATCCAGAGAAAATGCAACAATGAGTGCATCTGTTGCATCTGCTATGTTGTTTTCTCTCTACGTGATCGTTAAAAGTTTGTGCAAAATAGTATAGACAGAAGCCCTTTTTTTTCAGTCTGAGAGACTGATATTAAAAAATAAAACCTTTAGCATCACAGATAGTTAAATATTTATTGTGAAATAAAAAAAATCATATCCTAACATGTATATTCTAACACAATTGTTTGTGTTAAAGTTACAAAATATACACTAACCTGAAAATGAATTCAGAAATACAAGCTACAACACCAACAACTGATTTATAAAGGGATTTTTTTTACACATAGAAGCAACAGGATGAACATGTAATTGTATTCACTGACTCCTTCATTGGCGTCTTGTATTGCGATGTGAACTCTTTCACTCACCAATAGCAGCCTTCACCTCCACAGGCTCAGACTCCTGGGAGAACTGGCTGAGCCCTGCTGCATTCACTGCCCTCACCTTGAACACGTATTTCTCTCCTGTCACCAGACCGTGGCAGATGAACCTGCAAATATGTTTGATCAAATGTGAAAGAGGCAGTACTTCTCTATTAAAAACAACTGGATATTAAACTTGGAGCCATTTTACCTGGTAGCATTTACAGGCTTGTTGTTGCATGGCTCCCACACGTTGCTGCCCACAACACTCCCCTCGATGTAGTAACCCACCAACTCTTTGGCATCACGGGACGCTTCCCAAGACACAACGACTGATGTGTCTGTGTTTCTGGTAGGTATAACTTTGCCTGGGGCAGATGGGATATCTGTGGACCAGAACATTTGACATGTTTTGGGTCATTAACCTGTAAAGTGACATTGCTGCCATTATGATGCATGCGTGCATGTTTTTGTGTGTTTTCTGACCAAGCTTGTCACCAACAGTGGTGGCCTCAGTTGGGTCAGATGGCTCGCCGACACCGGCGGAGTTGCAGCAGCGGACACGGAAGCTGTAGGATTTCCCCTCGGCGAGATCAAACAGCGCAAAGCGGGGAGACTTGACTGGGATCTCTGTGTTCACCCTCTGCCAGCTGTCTGTGCCTGAGACACACTGACAAACAAGGATACAAACTGTCATCTGTTGCAGAAACACTGGCAGACAACAATTTTAGTTAACAAGTTGCGGTGAGTTTTGTGTGGGGTTTTCTTTAAACAGGTATGTAAGAATACGCTGCTAAATAGGCAGAATGTACCTTTTCCACATAATACATGACACCCTCAAGGCCTTTCTCTCCAGGTGGCTTCCAGCTCAGCACCACATAGTTCTTGGTTGCCTCTGTTATCTGCAGATCAAGAGGTCTACCAGGAACAATGCCCTCTGATGGTCAGAACATAAAGAATTAGGTCCCTGAACACATCAGCTGTGAAGTAGAAATATTCATGTCACTGGGTGTCGTGGATGTGATGGTATTCTGGAGAACATTGTTTTTTTAAATTTATATTCATAGTTTTATTATTCTTTGATAAATTGCATCTGTTAATTCCATATTTATATATTTTTACATTTATTTATGTCCACTGTTTATTTGTCTATGTGTACCACCTAATTACCATAGCAAATTCCTTGTACTTGTAAAAAAACTACATGGCAATAAACTCTTTCTGATTCTGATGAACCATACCTGCAGGCTCCTCCTCTGTGACAATGATTTGGCCGGTCCATGGGGCAGAAGTACCTGACAGCAAGGACATGTACGTCATGTAAAATGTGATTGTGATTTTGTTTCAGGTTTGAACATTTATATATTTTGCTCCAATATTCACAAGTTTCAATTGGTCCATTTCTGACCAGAATTGCATCTTAGGTAGTGGAAAAGGTTTTAAGACAATAAAAAATGAGCAACCATATCTTAAAAAAAGTGAAAATAATTGATTTAAATAATATTCCTCTAAAGCCCTTTGAACATGGACAGGAGACTGGTAAGCTGGGTTTGTACCTCTCATGCGGGCACGGTCAGCCGGGTCCATGGCAGCCACTGGCTCAGAGACTCGGGACGGGCGGCTCATGCCGCTCTTGTTGACCGCACGCACACGGAAGGTGTAGGAGCGGCCCTCCACCAGGCCGGTGACGGGGAAACGGGCAAACTTAACTGGAGTGTCATTGCACTGGATCCAGTGTGTGGTTCCAACCTCACATCTGCGCACATATCACACATATAAATCTTACAAACTGAGGTTTTTATTAAAAAGTAATTACCTCTGTAGGGGATTTAGTTTTTTTTCAATATGACCACTGCTGTGACTGATATTTTTAACAGTGTTACAAGTCAGAGTGATAACAGGCAGCCATGTATTAACTCACCTGTCCACAAAGTAGCCCAAGATGGAGTTGCCACCGTCGATCGCTGGCTGCTTCCAAGTGACAATAATGTAATCTTTATTGGCATCAAGACAGCGCACATCCAGAGGGGCACCGGGAGCTCCTTCAACCTCAGCATCAGCATCTAACACAAACAGTAACAACACCGTAAGGATTGTCAGTATGCATTCTTTTCACATTTGTTTACCTTTGAGCCAAAGACTTGTCAACAATGCATTAATTTACTGAAGCCTTTTCATTTTAAAGTGAGCTGTGCCCTCTGCTGAACTATGTAGCTGCAAGGCTTTAAGCCAGGAACATTTCTGGTCCTCGAGTCAAACACAAGCCGAGCGCAATCAGCAGCAGTAGGACAGAATTAGCAGTAGCTCTCACCGGAGTGAAAGGGGATAAGAGAGGTGGCTCTTAAGGAATACTTTAGGGTAAGCCAGGACACCTACAGTAGTAATATCTACACCACAGACAAGCGTTGCATCATAAGAGCATGTGTTAACTGGGTACATACTGCGTGTAGCCTGTGTTTTAACACCTATAAAGGCAGTGTCTCAAATTATCTACAAAATTAGAGGAATTTTCTTTAAACAGTAATTTCATTGAATGATTACTTTAAATTCACTCATCACAATGATGCCTATTCTAACAGCATACCGAGAGATACAGAAAGAGGAGATAAAACAAGAGGGTATGTTTGCTCGTGAGGAAACTGGGCAGCCTATTGTTTCTCCTTGAAGCAGATACTGAAATTATCTATCTGCACTCAGAGCCAGACTCATTCCATAGCTGAGCTCTCTGAGAATAGCCTGACTACAGCCAGGCCCATAGAGCATTTTGTACATGGCCTCTTCTTTACTGGGCGACCCCGAGCTGCAGCAGGCAAACAACAGGATCTATTTTCCAGCACGTTCATACTCAACATGGTTACCGTGTGGAAGCTGAAGCTTGAAAGGTCAGATTGTCTCTGAAGGCAGCAAAGATAAGCTTCACTAACTGCTTTTTCCATGGTATTCAAACAGATGCCGTGGAGTTGCCACTCTGTCGTGTCTCTATTAGAGATATCCTATTTAAAACCCCTTACTCACATTCAAAGACTTTGACTATTGAATGTGGCGTTGCCATCAGATGCCAGAGGATGTGCAGTTGTGACTTTGACCTTGATCTAATGACATACCTGACATACCAGGTAGTGTTTGTTGACTTGCAGTCAAAATGTCTTTGATAGGTGACATTTTATAGAATTAAAGGCTTGAGGACCTTTTCTAAATGCTTGGATGCAACATTGAAGCAAGCTCCGGATAGTTTTGGGGCATATTCATAATGAGCTGTTCCTAAATACCGAAAGCATAAAATGCACTCGGTTAGACAAAAACAAATTATATAAAAGAATGTGTATTAGGATGTTTCAGAACGAGTGTATCTGTATGTAAAGGGGGGGGGGCAAAACTTTACAGTACACAACATAAAGACATTAATTGTTAGATTATAGGCTAACCATTCATCTTGTGAGCAGCAAATTTTAATCCTATTTTTAAGTTTAGTTAGGGAAGGTGTACCCACCTCTGACAAAGACATAGGCTGAGTAGGTTTCATATCCAGACTTGGTGGTGACGCGCAGGGTGTACAGCCCCTCGTCCTCTTTGTTGAGGTGTGTGAGCGTCAGTGTGGCTCGATCTCCACTCCAGTGCATGTGGTTCCATTTAGAAGGAGACAGCAGAACATCTGGAAAGAAGATGGAGGGTATATCAGTAACATGCGTTACTTATATAATCCTTACAATATCCAATACAATATACAAGGGCTCCCTCAGAAGATTTTGAGCATTAAACACATTTCCTGCATTCTGGAGACATTTTCTTCTCTAATTTATGGTTGAAATGTCTTTATTTTTTAAACTTAAGTTACTTTTTTTGGACAATGCACATTTGTTTCTTCTATATTTAAGTTGCGCTGCATGTTTTCTTATTATTTTTTTAATATTATTGTGCAAATAAACATTTCAGAACATTTTTAATAAATGCTTTCAAAAGATGATGGGGACAAAATCAGCCATTTCAAAATGTAGTGGGGACATGTCCCCAGCATCCCCAATGTAAATGACACCTATTTTAATGTAAAACAATAGATCAGGCAGAGACATGCAAACAGAAAGTGGAGCTAGTTTGTTTCAGGAGCGGGACCACACATCAACCACGTCATCGCCAGCATTTCCATAAATACCCTAACATCCCAGCTCCTCTTCTTCACTCTCGCATTCTACATCCCTCCCCACCACTCCTTTCTCTGACCTGCCTCCTGATCTCCTTCTTCCTCTCCATAGGGTTATAAGGGGGTCTGTCATGCCCGGATTGTACGGCGGATTTCCCTATCGAAGCTTCTCCACAACGTTTCGATCATCATTAAATCATTTAATCGTACCTGTTGACTGTGTGGTCCTTGCTAGTGAAATCATTATTTATACTAGACAATTAATTCTTTCAGATCAGATAAGTAATTCATTTGACCTTTTCATCATCCCAGTGATACTCCTGCAGCATCAGGCTTGGAATGGCTTTGAAAAGTGTGATCAGTATCAGTAGTCCACAGTTTAGAGTCATCTGCTCACCGTCTCTGTACCACTGGATCTCTGGCTGGTAGCGGTGCAGGGCAGGGTAAATGATGACCGTACATCCCAGACTCATGGTCTCACCCTCTCTTCCAAACGATACACCAAACTTATCAACAATGTGAGTCTGGAAGGTGATGCCGTACTCAGACACTGGGCCGTCTGCAGACAAAGCATGAGCGGAGTCAGAGCTTGGCGTTAAACAATTTGCATACATATAACAGACAAGTGGAAAGACTAATTAATGTATTGCAAGTCAAGTGGAAGAACGAAACACGTCACTGTGAAAGAGACACACGTTTTCAAATCAATAATCACATCCACAGAAAAATAACAGAAAGGAAGATTAGAACTTTACAGCCAGACAGAAGAAGGTGGAGAAGAGAAGGTTTGAGAATAAAGGACAACAAACAAACACAGACCAAAAGATTGACTGAATCTTTGGTACAGTGCTCACAAAAACTCCAAGCCTTTATAAATTAAGGTAGACACTATCAAATGGCAACAAAATGTACTTTAATACATATGCAGCTGAAGAAAATCTTCACAGTAGCACAGTTGTGTAAAACAAATAGGACAGGAATTGGAAAAATGCTTTAGAGGACGGTCCTTCAACCCAGTGAGAACATAAGCTTACAAGGTTGCATACTTGCAACATTGTTGATGCACACAAATTGCTGTGTTACAACCGAAAGTGCTGAAAGTCTAAATTTCCATACAGACAAGAGTGGCCATGCATGGACGCAGTCAAAGTGGTCAGTGAAAACATCAAGTTAACCAAAACGTTTTCAAACCAGATTCCTGCGACCCCGTTACCTTCAGTACTGGCCCCTGCATTATCGTCGCAGCATCAAGGAAACAAAAACGTTGTTAGTGCAGTAGCCACATCGCACTCGTCACTACAGGTCAGTCATGTATTAGCAGTTATTCCAGCATGAGTAATGTTAATAATTTAAAAAAAAACAGAATGACAAATAAATGCATAATGACAACTAAAGGTGAATTATTTTAACACTAAATCATATGACTGCATGTAATGTGGAATTGGTCACTTGTAATGACAAACCCATAGATCACTATTACACAATTATTTAACTTTTTAGCTTCTATTAGCTCATTGTTTTCTTTCGTCCTGCAACAGAGGGCAGATGTTTTCAGCATATAGGTCTATTAAAGCAGCTGTCCAGTACATGCACAGTGCCCAACAGCAGACAGACAAAGTTAGCTGGTGAAGAGAATTGAACGTCATTCCACAAAACCAGTACAATTTGAGTCCCTCTGACCATTTTCAGTGTATTTTATCTATAGGGTCACCGAAATCTACTTTTAAAAGCTTTGTACATCAATTGAAATGTCCCCTTTAATAAGTGTAAAAACATTACATACATTTATCTTTATATCAAAAATTCTGTTTTTTCAGTTGGCACCACCTATTTTGTCATGTCCCTCATGACCTTCTATAATAGTGTGCTTGGCATTTGACTGGTAAAATTTTAAAAAGGACCATACATTTTTTCCATTTACATAAACATTTAATTGTGCTCTTTTGCTGTTAATGTTCTTTTCTAAATAAATTCATGATTATTCACTAAAATCACATTGTTTAGCTCCGTACCTCAGTAACCCCTCAACCCCGTCACACAAATCATTCCACCCCACATAAAAATAATGATGTGAAGATTATGTGACTTCAGCAACAGTAAGTGACATTCTGGACAACAATGTGCAGAGACAGGCAAGTCTCTTTTATAACCGTATTTTAGCCATCTATATTTTGATGTTGCCGTCGTCAGCTTAACGACTCAACCTTGTTACATGAAATGAACACAGAAAACTATTACTTGTGAAAATTATCTTTGTTATTTCAACAATATATGATTTCTTAATCTCATGCAGAACAAGTGCTCTCCTGTTATTCACCACATTTAGAGCAGTGGCCATCTGAGAGGAAAAATCACAACCCCGTCCCCGTCACACTCAACCATTAACGGTTACTTTTTTGATCACAACATTTCTCTGAAACAATGTTTTATTTAATCATATCACATGACAGGCACTAATGAGTCTATGATGGCACCAACAACAGCGGCACACACACAGGCACCTTATAGGTGTATAGGAAGCTGGGAAATGGCTGTATTTCTCAAGGAAAATCAAGAAGGCTAATTAATCCACCCGTGTACTGTATATAATTTGTGTATATAACTTTTGCTTTTTGTGAGTAGCAAAAAGGGACCCACAAACCTCATCTCATTATACAACCTTGCCTAACTACAACCCCTATTCTAAACTGAACCTAAACCCAATTCTAACACTGACCCTAGCTCGAACCCTCAAAAAGCACTTTGAAGACGTGAGAACCAGCCAAAATGTCCCGAAATTGCTCTTGGGTTAATAAAACTTAGTTCAAATGCAATTTAATCTATTGTCCATAAATGGTAAAATAACTGAACATAATGTTTGTATAAAATCATCAGTGAATTTCAGTTAAAAAAACAACTATTTTAATTTATGAAAAAGTAATGTCATATTGGTGGAACTGTGTCTAAAATGTTTAAAGCTATCGTAAGAATATTGATTGTAGTTGAAATTCTAAAGTTAAACCACATCTTTGATTTAAAAAAAGGTGCCAATTTCAGGTTTTAGGAAAGCGAAAGTATGACATTTCATGCTGTTTTTATATTTGCAATTAGTGTGAGGGACATCTGATTAATCAGAAAATGTTGATTTCATGACAAATGCACTTTTTAATCATATTCAGACAGCTTCTAGTGTCCGTAACGGGGTTGAAGACCTGCATATATCATAAAGTAATAACCAAAAATAATAGGTATTTGCTACCTGAGGTGGAAAATATGTATTTCTGAAAGTTAAATATGTTATTAATGTTGTGTGGTTTTCAGAAAAGTAATACATTTTGGTGAAAAATCTAAAAATCTGAAAGTCCCAATCGTACTGGTTTCATGGAATGACTCAGCTAAAGACACAGATATTTTTCTCAAGAGTTGGTGGAGACCAAAACAGAGCAACAAGGAGAGTGAATTTAGGACTTATATTCATCAGGTGGCCAGAAATATTACTCCAAATGAATGCTACTCAGCATCTGCTGGATGTGTAAATAAGCAACTGTTTGCTGACACATTAGCCGTAACAACTTTATAAGACAATATGTCAAGGCTGTGTCTCTCAGCTTGTCCTTTTGCTCCCTAGTGGCAATGAACTAATTAACGCAGCTTTAATCCCCCCCCGAAATAAAAAAAAATACAAATTCACACTTACGTCTGGGTGCTGGCAGGGATTCATCAAATTCACCTTTGAACCCTATTGACAATAGCAGCAGTTTTTATTAATACATACACATATTACAGTGACAAGATATCTAAATCATATGAGAAATTACACACCGGTTTACAGATGCCATGCTTCAGATACAGATAAGGCATTTTCTTATGGTACTTACAACTTAAATTACACTTATTACAATTAATGGAATTACCAAGAAAACCTTTAAAACCACATTTTGAAACTTTACAGACTGATGGTACTGACTTATAGTGAGTTACAATTACTGCTTTTTTGTTGTGATTTGAGAGCTTGTTCGTTTCGAGAGCATTGGGGTTTGATGGTTTTGAGTGTTGGTGACACCTACTCTTAACAACGACGGAGGCGAATGCAGACAGCTCTCCCTTGGAGTTCATGGCAGAGACACGATATTGCGCTGTGTCATCAAAATCACATCTGAAAGAGGAGAGCATCAGCTGATCATTATCCACGATACGCACATTCTGTCTCTCAAGGATTCACGTGTACAGTGCCCTTCCCCCACCTCAATCTCAGCCCTCTCAACCATGTAAATAATACCAACTATGTGAGCCCCAACTGTAAAGCATCCCATAATTCCTGGCCAGGAATACTCTGGCAATAAATAGACACCACCGGTGATGTCATCTGCACCAGGTGGTGTGGGTACATGAAAGTATCTGCTGTACATAACGGAAACCAACAGTCAGAGCACAGCCGACATGGTCTACTAAAATGTAATGATAATAATGTAATTTGTTCCCCTTTGTGAGTTTCGGCTTCTTGTTGAGATGTCTAAATTTTTAAACTTGCTCTTAAATAGTGTGGCTCTTCCCTGGCTCACAGTCAGTCTGTGTGGGCACATTATGCAGGGACAAAGGCAGACATCAACATAACCTTGTCTCACATAAAAACTGAAGCTTTCGGTCTACTGCATTTGACTGGTAGCTAGTGAGTAGCTGTGTTGTAAAGGATGATAATCTTACTGGCCACATTAAACTCAAGTTACCTGTTTTTTTGGCTGTACCCTATGACAATAAGACAAGGAGAAAAGCAGCTGCAGCTAGTAACAAGCCAAGCTAATGTAAGAAAACCTCTCAACAAGCTAAGTTGTGTGCAAATTCCCTGACTTTACATAATGTTTCTCCTGGATCTACAGAACCCATTACTGCTTACATGACATGTTATGGATATTAAACTATGGCACAAGATGCTTCAGCAGCTTTTAGAGAAGAGTTTATTTTGAGGACTGTGGAGAGGAGAAGCTACACCTACCTGTTAATCTCCAGTGAGTGCACGTTGTATCTGCTCTCAAGTTTATACTTGCCAGCGTTGGCAAGAGGGTCAATTGCCACATTGTTTTTGTACCTTTTAGTGGGAGGCAGAAAATATGAAAGAAGACAGACCAGAGGGAACAGAAAGAAGATTAAACAGAATCCAGAGGAAAATAGTAAAGCCATGGAAACTATATGGAGCTCAAAGGAATAAGCAGGATGTTGAGGTGAAAGAAAGGACAGATTTGAGGCTACGGGTGATGTCTGTGACGTACCAGATGACCCGTGGGTCGGGCCAGCCACTGACAGTGCAATGCAGCCGCACGCACTGCTTCTCCCACACAGTGTGGGAGCGTGGTTTAATCACAAACTCTGGGGGGTGCATCAGGCTGTCTTCGTTCATGCGCTTAAAGTGTTCCTCGTGTTCATGGATCTACAAACAGAAAAGTACTTAAGCATTAAATCACTCAGGACAACCATATCTTTGCCAACTGTGATGCCAAACAAACAAAGAAACAAAAAGAACCCATAATTTCACCAGGAATTCACAATGCATGATTGAAGCAAAACAAACCATTTACATAGACAAGATTCCAGCACATCTTTATTTGTTTTACACATGCAAGATCTATGCACTTTTCGACATGATATTGAGAGCGTGTGTGAATAGCTAGAGTGTTGTGCATCCAGTAACTCAACACATAATATGACAACACCATGGGGACACTGCTTCTCTGTGTCTCAAGAAACACGATCTCCTGGGGAATTTGTCACCAGGCTATCTGGCAGAGTAGAGACAACATAAATACAGTGAGGGGGTCACTGTGGCTTTTATGATGCTCAATTAATGGTCTAGTACTACTTCACATAATCACTCAGGGACATAAATAACTCCCTTGTGTATGGAGTAGTAACCACTTAGCCACAGCACTTGGTGTCCATAAGCAGTACTGCAATTAGTAATGCTCAGTTATGTGACTATGCAGATAAAATAATTCTATGATGTCATGAAATAGGATGGTCTATTGTATTGACCAAGTACCAAAAACCAATCTGTCATGTCATGAAACACGGTGGCTCACTGTGATGTCACAAGTAACACAAGCCACTCTGTGATGTCATGAAACAGAATGGTGCACTGTGATGTCACTAGTAACACAAGACATTCTGTGATGTCATGAAACAGAATGGTGCACTGTAATGTCGCAAAAAACACAAGCCATTCTGTGATGTCATGAAACAGAATGGTGCACTGTGATGTCACTAGTAACACAAGACATTCTGTGATGTAATGAAACAGAATGGTACACTGTGATGTCACTAGTAACACAAGCCATTCTGTGATGTCATGAAACAGAATGGTGCACTGTGATGTCACAAGTAACACAAGCCATTCTGTGATGTCATCAAACTGAATGGTCTACTGTGATGTCACAAGTAACACAAGACATTCTGTGATGTCATGAAACAGAATGGTGCACTGTAATGTCACAAGTAACACAAGACATTCTGTGATGTCATGAAACAGAATGTCTACTGTGATGTCACAAGTAACACAAGACATTCTGTGATGTCATCAAACCGAATGGTGCACTGTGATGTCACTAGTAACACAAGACATTCTGTGATGTCATCAAACAGAATGGTCTACTGTGATGTCACAAGTAACACAAGACATTCTGTGATGTCATGAAACAGAATGGTCTACTGTGATGTCACAAGTAACACAAGACATTCTGTGATGTCATGAAACAGAATGGTGCACTGTGATGTCACAAGTAACACAAGACATTCTGTGATGTCATGAAACAGAATGGTCTACTGTGATGTCACAAGTAACAGAAGACATTCTGTGATGTCATGAAACAGAATGGTGCACTGTGATGTCACAAGTAACACAAGACATTCTGTGATGTCATGAAACAGAATGTCTACTGTGATGTCACAAGTAACACAAGACATTCTGTGATGTCGTCAAACCGAATGGTCTACTGTGATGTCACAAGTAACACAAGCCATTCTGTGATGTCATCAAACAGAATGGTCTACTGTGATGTCACAAGTAACACAAGACATTCTGTGATGTCATCAAACCGAATGGTCTACTGTGATGTCACAAGTAACACAAGCCACTCTGTGATGTCATGAAACAGAATGGTGCACTGTGATGTCACTAGTAACACAAGACATTCTGTGATGTCATGAAACAGAATGGTGCACTGTGATGTCACTAGTAACACAAGACATTCTGTGATGTCATGAAACAGAATGGTGCACTGTGATGTCACTAGTAACACAAGCCATTCTGTGATGTCATGAAACAGAATGGTGCACTGTGATGTCACAAGTAACACAAGCCATTCTGTGATGTCATTAAACTGAATGGTCTACTGTGATGTCACAAGTAACACAAGACATTCTGTGATGTCATGAAACAGAATGGTGCACTGTAATGTCACAAGTAACACAAGACATTCTGTGATGTCATGAAACAGAATGTCTACTGTGATGTCACAAGTAACACAAGACATTCTGTGATGTCATCAAACCGAATGGTGCACTGTGATGTCACTAGTAACACAAGACATTCTGTGATGTCATCAAACAGAAAGGTCTACTGTGATGTCACAAGTAACAGAAGACATTCTGTGATGTCATGAAACGGAATGGTGCACTGTGATGTCACAAGTAACACAAGACATTCTGTGATGTCATGAAACAGAATGTCTACTGTGATGTCACAAGTAACACAAGACATTCTGTGATGTCATCAAACCGAATGGTGCACTGTGATGTCACAAGTAACACAAGCCATTCTGTGATGTCATGAAACAGAATGGTCTACTGTGATGTCACAAGTAACACAAGACATTCTGTGATGTCATCAAACCGAATGGTCTACTGTGATGTCACAAGTAACACAAGACATTCTGTGATGTCATGAAACCGAATGGTCTACTGTGATGTCACAAGTAACACAAGACATTCTGTGATGTCATCAAACCGAATGGTCTACTGTGATGTCACAAGTAACACAAGACATTCTGTGATGTCATCAAACCGAATGGTCTACTGTGATGTCACAAGTAACAGAAGACATTCTGTGATGTCATGAAACAGAATGGTGCACTGTGATGTCACAAGTAACACAAGACATTCTGTGATGTCATGAAACAGAATGGTGCACTGTGATGTCACAAGTAACACAAGCCATTCTGTGATGTCATGAAACAGAATGGTGCACTGTGATGTCACTAGTAACACAAGCCATTCTGTGATGTCATGAAACAGAATGGTGCACTGTGATGTCACAAGTAATGCAAGACATTCTGTGATTTCATGAAACAGAATGGTGCACTGTGATGTCACAAGTAACAGAAGACATTCTGTGATGTCATGAAACAGAATGGTGCACTGTGATGTCACTAGTAACACAAGACATTCTGTGATGTCATGAAACAGAATGGTGCACTGTGATGTCACAAGTAACAGAAGACATTCTGTGATGTCATGAAACAGAATGGTGCACTGTGATGTCACAAGTAACAGAAGACATTCTGTGATGTCATGAAACAGAATGGTGCACTGTAATGTCACAAGTAATGCAAGACATTCTGTGATGTCATGAAACAGAATGGTGCACTGTGATGTCACAAGTAATGCAAGACATTCTGTGATTTCATGAAACAGAATGGTCTACTGTGATGTCACTAGTAACACAAGACATTCTGTGATGTCATCAAACAGAATGGTGCACTGTGATGTCACAAGTAATGCAAGACATTCTGTGATTTCATGAAACAGAATGGTCTACTGTGATGTCACTAGTAACACAAGACATTCTGTGATGTCATGAAACATAATGGTGCACTGTAATGTCACAAGTAACACAAGGCATTCTGTGATGTCATGAAACATAATGGTGCACTGTGATGTCACAAGTAATGCAAGACATTCTGTGATTTTTATGAAACAGAATGGTGCACTGTAATGTCACAAGTAACAGAAGACATTCTGTGATTTCATGAAACAGAATGGTTCACTGTGATGTCACAAGTATCACAAGCCATTCTGTGATGTAATCAAACAGAATGGTCTACTGTAATGTCTACAGTGACGCCATGGGTATGAAAAGCCAATCAGTGATGTCTTGAAGGAGAATGATTTGCAGGTACAACAACAAACGCTAAGGTCTAAACTGGACACTGATGTGTCACAATCAGGTCCCTGATGTTCTGTGATGTAAAGATAATAAGCAGTTATCTATGGTGTTGTTAAAGTCTGTGGCTTCCTGTAGCTCAAAACAGCCACATACAGAATTCCCCCACTGACCCTTTTGTTCAGAGAGATGCGTTCAGCCGACTCGCGCATGGCTTCCTTCCTGGAGATCAGCTCTGACCTCTCCATCTCCAGGCCACTGGTGAACATATCCCTGCGAGCCATGTATGCAGCAGTGTCCCTCACTCTTGCTTCTTCTGTATTCGAAAATCCTGTCGCAAACTCTTGACTAGGAGTTTATAGAGTAGAGCCAGAGATGGATGTGGAGTGTGAGGCATGTCATTAAAAGTGAAATTACTTTAAGATGAGTTCCAGTTTTATACAGTGACGAGTTACCTGCCCCTGAAGATAGGCACTACATAGCCGATGATTTGGTTCTCTTTGTCCACAGCCAAGTAAGTTGGCTTGGCTCTCTTGGGCATAGGGCTCAGTCTGCTCGCCTCCAGCCCAGAATGTGAAGACACTTTAAGTCTGGGACATACAGAATACCATCAGTCCGGCGCCCAGCCAGACAGTGCAACTAATAACATAACATCAACATGTGGGGATAAAACCAAGGTCAGGGTAGATGAGTTGTGGATTAGGTTCTGTGGGAAAGTAGTGCAGATAGTTTAGTTTTTAATATTTAGCATTTTTATGCCTCTTCAATGACTACATTTTCACAAAAAACAAACAAACACTGAGGTCCACTGAAAACAGTAATTATTCAATCATTAACAGACCAAAACAACGCTTTTGCTGCAATCTGATATGATGGTAACACATACCAGAGCCACAAATCTGACATCTGATACTATAGGCCAAACAACTCACATACCACTTACAAATCTTTATAGATACAACAATCCACAGTCATACTACGAGTATCTCACTCTATATGCTCTCTTAAGATACATTTAGAAAAGGGATGACAAGGAGAGTAATAGAAGGGTTTGATTTTAGATTTTAGGTCAGATGTCATGCCTCTTGTCTGTGGCAACACTATCTGCAGCAAGCAGAGAGTGGGGGTGGAAGCTCAGGGTATGAGATAACGAGAACCTGATAAGGAAGTGCGGGGAAGAAGTAAACCAGGGCTGCCCTCAGTTTTCCTGTATGTATCTGGGTCATCATCCATTTAGCTCTGACTGTTTACATTCTCTTGACCTTCCAGAATTAGAGCTGCAACAACTTTCATTGGGACGTGGGAAGCTTCAATTTCATTGCTGAAATCCAGTAAATGTTATCCCATATATCAAATACAACATTCATGTCTACATAAATGCAGTTGTATCTTTGCAATAACAACGTTACCGTAACCACCCTGACTGTTCATCATCACATCCTAATCCTCCGCTCCTCACCGCAGCACAGATTCTATGGCCAGTGGCCTGCCCAGCAGTGAGTGTAAAGGCAAAGATCAGATGGTGTTAGTAAAACCTAAGCCCTCTGACCTGTTCACACTCTCCAGGCCAGTGTATTTAAAGATCTGCCAGGCACTGTTAAATAAAGGGTTGACATTAACAGAGTGTTTTGTTATTCCAAGATAAAAATATTCCATACTAACAATTCATGCAGAAGGATTGAAAAATTGTAGAAAAGCATCTTGAAAGTGACAGAGACTCCCTACTGTCACAGATTTTGGGGAATCAGCAATAAATCAAACAACTTAACACTACCATTATGCTTGTTGTGTTGCTCATTCCTTACAAAATAAGTGCTTCCTTCCATTAATGACTCAAACATTTAGCAGACCCATGTATTTTCTATTTTAAAAACACCAACCAATGCATTCAACACAGACTGCACTAATCTGGGCAACAGAAACATCCACTAATGAACCACAACTCTCCCTGTGCCTACTGGAAATATAGGGAAGCAACTACGTTTCTGAGACATAAGAATACGTGTAAATGGTATCAGGTTTTAAATATATTAAATCCACAACACTTGTTCAGATTTCAAGTGGACAAGGCTGACAAACTGTCACTTCTTGCTTTCCCTCCAAAACAGTATGCAAAGGTCAAGAAGAAAAACAAAACAAAAACTTTTTAAAAGAAAACGATAACCTATGACCATTTCACTTGTGTGGGAATAGGGTGTGTTAAAGATAAGATTTTGTCAGCATGCATAAAAGCAAACAGGGTATCTCTCCGCCTGCATGCAAAGAGCTTCATGCAGCATTCAAAGCTGTTTTCAACCAGTATGAAGAGCAATGATCCTCAGGTGTGTTTGAAGGAGAACTCAGAGGATGGAAGGAGGTTACTTTGGTTTCAATATGGCAGCAAAGCAGGCAAGATGATCCCAAAGCCCAAAGCTGTGAAAGGGAAGTGATCCAACAAGGGTGATTGAGAGGAACTTGATAAGTTGGGTTGGGTGATGGTGTTAAGGGGAGCAGTAGGGCTTTCCTAAGACAAAGAAGTGGATTGATGAAGATATGATCCTCTTCCTCCTCCTTACCCTGTGCTCCTGCTGGTGGCGGAGGTGCTGCTGCCAGCAGCATATCTGCTGCTGGCCTGGTACTGGCTCACTTTAGACTCCGTCTCCCTGCTACGGTAGCCACGGTCATAGTGGCGATGGTGCTTCTGGTAGAACGGTATAGAACCAGACATGCTGCAGGCCCCTCCTGGTACAAGTTTCTGAGTTTCTGGCTGCCTATCTGTTTGTCTGTGTGGTTAGTTAGTGTTGAAGAGGAGGTGGATTAACTGTATATTCATCATGACTTTCACTGAATTTGAAACATGCGTTCATTTACTTTGACATGTTCTTTGTAGTTGAACATGGATAGTTAGTCTAGCTCTAAAGATGGAAAAAAAATCAGCCGTACTAACTAAATCATTTTGTGGGGAAATTATGCAATCCCCAGGATGCCAAATATAATATAAGCAAAAGGTTCATAATATTTCAAAAAAGAAAATCACAGGAAAAAGTCTTTTAACCATTATGAAACCTCCCAATTCAAACCTGCAACATCAGCTAGCAAGACATGATATAAGATTCAGGCAATCAGACACATTCTCAGCATGCTTGTGCATATGCAACAACTACAACCTAGCTTATCACATCCCTCCTCAACAATTGCCGCTTACCCTGGACGAAAAGCCTCAAACTCCAAGCTTTAGAGAAAAGGTGGTTCAAACTCCACACTAAAAGTTTGATATCCCAGCAAACCTGGAGGTAGGTGCGCACAGGGCTGTGGTCTACACAACAAAAATAATATGGGCCCTTGCTGGAGAGTCCAAGCAGCAGTCACAGCCTTTTATGGTGAGGGTGGAGATAAATATAGCTGAGAGCAGAGTGTTGGGGGGCCAAGTCAACCCCAGTAGTGCAGTGGTTCTCAAACTGGAGGGAGGGCCCCACTGAGAGGACATAGAGCCACTGCGAGCCAGAGCATACTTGTTATATGTCTTTTTTTTTTTAAAGGTCATTACACAGACATGAAGATCTTGCTAACTAGCCTACAGCATGCCATTGCTGATAAAACTTCAGCAGCTTTTGTCTTGACTTTTTACCACAGCAGTCTCAGCTGTGATTGTTGCTAACTTTAGCTATGCTATTGTTACTTGCTTCACATACAACAAATGCCAGTTACTATCTCTTTGTCACTCTCTCTTTCGGTCTCACTTTTGGAAGTGCACACATGCCCCCTCTTGTCCCTCATAAACAGCTACTAAAGGAAAAAAGTTACATAAATCAAAGACTCAAAGTCCACTGGCAGATTTTAATAAGTACCTACTCTGTTGATACAAATGCCCACCTTATGCCAGTATGACTCATAAACATGAATTTACAAAAATTATCATGATTTTTAGAGGCCATTTTGCAGGCAGATTTAATTTGGCTGCCTGCCACGTTGGATATTGTTCTTTTGCAACACCTGGCAAAAGTATCATGTCAATGAGGTCTTTCCTTTTTGGCCCTCACCCACCACTTTCGCACATGACACAATGGTCAGCACGAGAACATACCTAAAATGTTATGGCAGCAATCTGGAGTGTAAACCCATTAAAGATGAACACTGAGGAGAACAATACAAGCACGGTCACAACACTACATGGTGTCTAATGAATACAGGATAGATTTTGGGTAATATAATATGTCACAAGCCACTAAGTAATTTGCCAACATGACTTCTTTGAACCGCTATGATTAACTGAGAGGCAGCACAGTTCACTAATCAGCAGCAAAGCAGCAGTGATGTGAACAGCTTGTTACAATTAGCTGCTGGAGTGTCCAGTTGACTCTCTAGCCTTTAGTGCGGTAATTGTAAAAAAGTGCATTTTGCCAGGAGTGTGTACGATTTATGGTTTCACTTGTTAACAAACCACTCGAAATCTATAACAAAGTGGCTAACTTAGGCTATTTAAATTATGTTACTGTATGTCTAGTGGTCGGAATAACCATGCATAGAGACTCCCAAATGGGAATAACAGGATTTCCTGTTCTTCTGCAGACCCTGGGTGAATGCACCATAAACCTCACTAACTGACACATTACATCTTGTTTAATCAGTACAAAAACGCGTTATATTTCTTACTCAGACCACCCTAATTTCTAGTCTTTATGCTGAGCTAAGCTAACCCACTGCTGGCTGTAGCTTCATATTTTGGTGTACAGACATGTGAGTGGTAATTTTCTAATTTAACTCCTGTTGTACAGGAGATGATAGTAGTTTTCCAATAACATGACAAAACAATAAGATGACAGGAAACTATAAATATTTATATCAAAATATACCCTGTCAGACAGGTACAGTAACCTCCAGGATTAGTGAATATGACCGAATGTCAATGAATAGCATCTCTGTAGCTTCTATCACGTACATCCTGAGCTTCACTCTAATCTGACTATAAACCCCAATTATCAACCAGCTGACACTCACTGATTGTATAGAAGAATCTTTTTCTTGAAACTCTCCATTTCCACAGAAAAACTCAAATGCATCCCAGGAACATGATAACACAGTCAGCCAACGACTTCATCCCATTGTACTCTATGGTATTTAAAGAGAATCATATGCTGCTTTAATCTATTTTAACACTAGTGCTTGACCATTGTCAGCAATGAATTGTATCACCTTATCACTGGAATACTGAGTTATTGGTGAGTACACAGGCATTCATGCATCTGATACAATCAACCTGCAAATGTAAAGCCTGTAATGTTCAGTTTTGTTGACAATTTATGAGAAAGGTGTTGATTTAAATGTGGTGAATCTGAGGCTAAAGATAGTGGTGGAGTTGTATAGTTCATTATACTGACAGGCATTTCTAATATGTTGTCCATTCCTCACATAACTACATGAGTGGTGTGATAGTCCAAGTGAATGTGTTCGTTAGTGTTGGTTTATCTGTCCAGGAAATTCCAACTGTATGGGCGTCTCATGGGATCTATTAGAATTATTTTTATGTTGTGCCTTGTATGCCTTCCACATATTGAAGCAATTTCAAAGTTTTACCAGTTCTAGACGTGAACAAATTAAATCAGCTCAAACACAATTGGATAACATGCAGAAACAAACTATTAATGACGGTCTTAAATAGCGCTGAGCAAAATAAAGGTTTTCTATGAATGTAGCACACTCTAGTGGTTTTTGCTTTACATTATCATTTAACTTGACGTTACATCACGTTACACTAAGAAACAATTCCTTAGTTCCCAAAGATAAAAATGTATTTTTCTGTGCTGACTGGAGCACTCAACCTGCGGCTTTTACAGACAACACAATCATCAGTGTGATCTTTAGTAATTTTTTCAATTATTGAATTCCTCTTGTAACCAGTTGTGTTTATACAACGAATACTATAAGTGACTGGTGGCACATATTCAACCATTTTGTTATCAACTTTGAAAGTGATATGACAACTGGACCAAAAAGACAGATGTGGCCTGTTTTAACCTCTGAGTCAATAGCTCCACATCTAAGCCTTCCTTTAGAGCACTGACAGGGGTAGCAACTGTTGTCTGACTCTGAACCAGTGCTATCTATAATTATCCTTCGCATCAACATTTTTCCTTTTATTGTTTTGGTTTCACTAGATTAACTTCCATTTATTTTTATCTTCTTTCACTTTATTTAACCAGGTGAGAAACTCTCTTTATTTCATGAGAAATTTGGCCAAGAAGGCAGCATAAAAACATTTTTACTGCAATACAATACAAACAACATACAGAGGTTAAGACAACTGCCACATACCACAAAAGAGGGTCCAGCTGAGATGCATATGTAGGTCTTTAAGTCATCCAAATGACCCCAATAAAGTAAAAGCAATACACTATTTTCCCTGACAAACAGTATCAACTTAATTTGCTAATACTTACATCTGATTGGCATCATTTATTAAATAACAAAAACATTTAATATGACACTAAATATTAATTCGCTGGTATGTTTGCGTTATTGGTGGTAACGCCCATTTCCCCCCACGGGAATCATTTAAGTTTTACTTTGCCTTATTTCCACAGGGCAGAGGACTTTGTATTCTGCCCTTAAAAGGGCATATGCAGGAATGTCAACGCAGGCAAAGGAGTGTTTGTGGAATTTAATCCACCGGGGGTGTGAAAGTAGATTAAGTATTGTATCACCACTAATAATTAATTATTAGGATCTATTTTCCAATATACATTAGTGAAGTGTAATTAATTATAATATTACAACTGGAAAAAACGTATGAATAGTTTTCCCAAGCATGTAATAATGGTTTCGTACTTGATGACCCTCCCTATTTTCCTCGGTTGGTTTGTTCTGAATGTTCTTTACAACATCAGGAAGTGAAGGGCGGTGGTTGAGAAAAAAGCAGCATCGGGCTAGCTGACAAGTATCGGGTTGTTGTCAGGTAAGACTGTGTTTTTAACTCTTCACTTTTCTGTCTAACGCGTTAGCTACAGTACAAATGCTTTGCTATCAGGATACAACGCATCTGCTGGCGATACTAAAGGCTTAACGTTATATCTGTGCACCATTTTGGCTGTTTGACTGCTTTGAAAACACGGCTAACTGTTAGCTGCGCGGCTAATGACGCGATAGCTAACGCAGTGATCTCAAATGCCTCGTTAAAAAGCAGGATATCATGTAAAGTTAACTGTTAGCTTTATAAATTGAAAACTTGCCTGTGAACGTGGGTAACTTCAGCGACTGCTCCGTGTGTGTAACTTTAGTGGGCTAACGTTCACAGCTGGAAGCACACTTAATATTTAATGTAGCTAAAACTAGGCCGCAAACAATTGACTGTAACGTTACGTACTTAACATAGCTATGGTATTACTAATGCGCCAAGAGTTGTGGTAAGATCCCGTCCTAAAACAAATTGACATGAGGAGAAATTGATTTTGTTATCGGTAACAATGCGTAACACAAGCAAAGATAATGATGATCACGTTACCTTTTTAAAATGAATACCCCTATCAATACTTTTGTGTGTTAAACCTGGCAATTGGTGCTTTCAACTATAAAGACGACGAAAAATCATAAAATAAAGTCGTTTTTCAAGCAATTTGCTGTTCAGATGTCAGAATACTGTGTCTTTTGTTTTTTCATTGTAAATTTCCCACTTTATCAGTCGAACAAAAAAGCAATTTGAAGCTGTTTATACACTATGCTGAAGTATTAAATCAAATATATCCATTGTTAATTAAAACTAGTTGGTTGAAGCCCATTGACATTAATGTCACTGGACATTCATGGAGGCTTTATAATGACTGGTGTCCTAGATAATATCTAGCCATTTCACCATATTGACAGTGTCTCAATACAAGGCCAAGCTATGGACTGTACAATACCCAATGGAAAGACATTGCCTGATATGGGCATCTGTTCTCACATCACTACGTTTTCCTGCCCTCTGTGAAGGCAGTGAGCTGATCAACCTAGAAAGATGAGGAACATTTCCATTTATAGCTCAGTGAGAGGGACACCACACTGGGGAATCATTGCCAGAGAATTTGAATATCCTGCCACTGACTGGTGTGCACGAATGACGAAATCTTATTTTGAGAATCTGCATGGTCCACTGGACCTTCTGATCAGATTGTCTCTTTCACAGGTCTCATCTTTTGTCTGTCTTATCAGGCCAAGCCTATACTTTATCTGTTTCCTGCACTGTCTCTACTGCTGCTGTTCTGTCATTGTGTTTGAGGAAGGTCTAAACATCAGCTATAAAAGCAGTGGAAAGGATGTCAGTTTTCAGTCACCCACTCCCACTGAGCTGCTGCAAGATTTGAAAATGCTTGTT